CAAAAAAAAAAAAAAAAAAAGAGAAATGGTAAAAAAATGGCAGAGAAGCAACGCCTCTCTTCCCCCAAGATCGCGTCTCTTTCCCTCTCCAAAAGCTCCCATTCGCGACACTCTCAAGGGATTTTGGCGAATCTTGCTCTTCCGCTCTCGATCCTTCTCCTCTCTCGCGAACGCCCGGTTTCGCCCCTCCCGATTCGCGACAGAGAGGACCGCTCGGCCCTCTCACTTCCTATCCCTCGCCCGCCGCCGATCTCCCTCTCCCGACTCCGAATCGCAGCCTCCGAGTTCGTCTCTCGCTATACGCGCGGCATAGAAGGTCCCGCTCCTTTCCTCTGGCGCCGGTCACCGACCCTTCTTCTTCTTCTTCTTCTTCTTCTCCTTCTTCTTCTTCTTCTTCCACTTCTTCTTATCCTATTTCATTTTCTTCTTCTTCTATTTTATTTTATTTTATTTTATATTATTTTATTTATTTATTTATTTATTTTCTCTTTATTCTTGTTCTCCTTCTTACATTTCTTCTCGGCCAAACCCCGCCAACCTCGACGATCTCCCTTCATCTCGCCGGCTTCTGCCTTGCCGGTGTCGTATCTTTCGCCGGACCGAAACGACAACGAACCTCAACGTCTTTCGGGAGGGTACGAAGGACTCCCATTTTACCTGAAAGTTCCCGCCGGACTTATTTAGGCTTCGTGCAAACTACGCGAAGGTATAACATTCTTACCCTTCGCATTTTATTTCTTAGCCGGCCTTAGGTTGTGTGGGTTCGATCGCCCACACGGGGTGTGTGCGCCTGCGTAAGCCGGCGCGGCGGCACACCTATGTGATTGATCGATTGTTTTCCTAGAGATGATTTATAGGATATGATCCCCTCGTGCAACTAATTTTCCTACGATAGCCGAGTGAATCATATTTGACTGTTAGCCTTAGCACAAAAATCCTAGAGGTTGGAGCTCCCTTCGCTCCTCTTTGCTTTGGTAGTCCCGATCTTTTAAAAAGATCGAAAAGTAGATCTTTGCAAAATGAGAAAATGCGAGTCATTAGCTCATTTTGCAAAGCTTGGAGGCTTCGTGAAATCGGGAAGAGTGTTGTCACTAGCCCGTTTCATGACGAGATGGAGAAATTCCCCCTTTGGAGATCCAGGGAGAAGTTCCCCCA